TAAGTTCCAACACTTTTCTTGTGAGTGCTGTAGTTTTTTTTGAATTGCCTGGCAAAACAAAGACTTCCATGAGCCGAAGTAAAAGTCTAAAAACTAGACAGAAAAATGGACAGAGCTACATACCAGGATCATGGACTTTGTGGCAGACTGGATGGACTTTAGTTCGGTGTTTAACTGCTTCTGGTGGTGCTCCATATCCTTGGGGAGGCACACACTCTTGGCCAAGCTAAAGGCCAACTGGTGATCTTTTTCGGCGACAACCGAATCAGCATCAAGGATATCTCGGTCGTTGAAGCTAAGCTTTGGTGCCCAGCTGGTGATAGTTCGGTCGGCAGGCTGCTGGTTGGGGGCTCAGTGGAAAATCGGTGGAACAGCAGTCTCATCTTCTACCAAACTTGGTTCAGACTCGGTGGTTCGGGCGCGTTTGGTTCAGCGCGACGAAGATGGCTGTTGTGAGGGGAGGCCACAACGGCAGGCTGCGTTTGGCTTGGTAACGGTACTCGGGCCTGCTTGTCTCGGTCAGAAGCGCCCTTAGCTCTGTTCTTCTTGGCATTTCCTCTTCAGCGATTAATGGAATTAATCTTATTTGTGGCAAGGTTGGGTCCGGCTCTGGGGCGTCTTCGAGAAGAAAGTCAGTTACTCTGGCTTTACGGCGACCACTGTATCGGTAGGTCGGCTCGAATTTCAGCAATTTGGCCCAACTACGTTCAGGATATCGTAGTGCGGCTCGCAAAATTGCAAGGTTTGGATAGTTGTATATAGGAAGTCCCACCCTTTTATTGTGTGACCTATTAAATTGATTCCTCTATAATTGTTGCAATTCTGGACATCTCCTTTATTCTTATATATTGGCACTAAAATACTCCTCCTCCAGTTCTCTGGCATCTTCTTAGTTAACAAAATCTTGCTAAATAACCTAGTCAACCAAGCAACCCCCTTCTTACCCAAACACTTCCACGCTTCAATAGGGATATCATTAGGTCTTAAAGCCTTATTCAATTTCATCTTTTTAAGTGTAATCTCCACTTCAAGGTTTCTAATTCTGCCATAGAACTTATAGTCTTAGTTTTCTTTATTACTTGCTACTTCCTCCCATTTTGACCTACCTCCATGTTCCTCATTTAACAACTTTTCAAAATAGTTCTTCTACTTCTCCTTAATCTCTTCATCTTTCACCAACACCTTAGGATCTTCACCCTTGATGCACTTAACCTGATAAAAATATCTTATTTTTCTCTCTTATTGTAGCAAGTTTGTATATTATCTTCTCGCCCTTCTTATTATGTAGTCTAGTGTATAGGTCATCATAGGCTTTTAACTTAGCCTCTCTCACTACTTTTTTGACTTTCTTATTAGCCAATCTGTAACTCTTAAGGTTTTTCTCAATTCTATCTTTCTACCACTTTTTAAAGCACTCTTTTTTCATCTTTACTACCTGCTTGAACCTCCTCCCTCCACCACCAAGTTTCCCTAGAGTTGAGTCCCTTGCCTTTCAACTCTCTAAGAACTTTCCTTGAGATTCTTCTCATACTATTGGGCATCGAGTTCCATATAGTGTTAGCATCATCTTCCAAGTCTCAAGTACCTTCTTTATCCATTCTATTATTAAATATTTCTAGTTTATCCCCTTTTAGGTCCCGCCATCTTGTCCTACGACACCTACTATCCTTCCTAGCTTGGTATTGCCTTTTAAAACATAAATCTAGTATCAAAATCCTATGTTGAGACTGCATGCTCTCTTCATGAATCACCTTATAGTCGCTGCATTTTAGAGTGTCCACTTTTCTTACTAGAAAGTAATCTATTTGGCTCCTAATTGACCCACTCTTAAAGGTTATCAAATGCTCTTCTCTCTTCTTATACATAGTATTGGCCATCACCAGATTAGAAGTCAACACAAAATCTAAAATACTCTCTCTAGCCTCATTTCTATCACCAAAACCATACCCACCATGCACCCTCTCATAACCTAGTTTATCTATTCGTACATGGCTGTTGAAGTCTTCACCTATAACTGAGTTCTCTCTTACGGGGGGTATCTCCTATAATATCTGATCTATTTGTTTTCAAAAATCTCTCTTAGCCTAATCATCTAATCATACTTGGGGGGCATATGTACTAATAACGTTCATTATATTCTCTCCAATAACTAATTAACTAACATAATCTTATCACCTTTCCTAATGACCGCAATTACGTTTTCTACAAGACCCTTGGCAACTATTATTCTTACCACATTCCTATGTTTATCTTTGCCACTATAATATAGTTTAAAACCGGTATCCTCTATTTCCCTAACTTTCTCACACATCCACTTAGTTTCTTGCATGCAAGCTATACTAGCTCTCCTCCTAATCATGACATCTACCAATTCCATTTCTTACTAGTTAAAGTTCCTATATTCCATGTGGCTACCCTAAACCTATAGTCTTGAACTAGTTTCTTTGTAAACCTTTACCCATTTTCACCGCACCTAGGCATCGATATGCAGCACCCCTTGCTCACTTTTTGAAACACTCGAATGCAGGCGCAACGCGTCACTTAAGGGGAACGACCTAGTATTTAATCGATTCAAAGTAGGATTCATTTTCATAAGGAATCCAAGCGGTTTTTTTACGTGTTGACTGTCAGCTACCTAATACACAACCTTCCTCCTTTATCGGGCTTGGGACCAGCGGAGTTGTTAAACAACCTCGGCAAAGTTATATTGTATTCAACTTATGTGGAACAAAATTTAAAGAAAATTCATATTTCATGCATGCAAATAGTTTTCAGCTTGCAAACTTTTCTATTCATCTTCTAAATGGTTAAAAGCAATCATTTTCTTTGTCATGTTTGGACTCAACAATTTTTTATATAATGTAGAGAAAATACAATTTATTAAAATGTAGTCCATTTCAAAGATGTCGTATCCATATCTTTTTTTCATTACATGTCGCATCCATAGCTTATTCAGTGAGCAAAGTGGACAGAAAAAAAGATCATTTTCTATCTAAGTGATTTGACTTATATGATATATCCAACTATTCCTTTAGGAAAAATTCTAAAGAGAGAAACATAGTAGTAGTGTAGGACTCATTATATTTTTCTTGATAATATATTAGAATTGGAAGAATAAAATTCTTATATTTAAACCAAATTACTTATCAAAAAAATAAAAATATTTCAGGAATCCAAATCATCTAGGAGAGATGCTCACATACTTTCTTCTCTTATTGTTTGAGACTCCATTGGTTTTGTTTTGGAAGGATTTGATTAGAAGGCCAATTAGATGTTGCTTGATAGTGTGTTAAAAAAAAAGTAGGGGCTATAGACAAACCAAGTAGTGTGTTTTTTGGCTTGAAAATTTAATGAGCTTCAAAACCTTTGGAGCTAGGAATGGCAACGGGGCAGGGGCGGGTATAATTATTTTAGGAGAAGTCAATATCATTTATCCCATTATTTATTATTTATGCTATTAAATTTAGAAATAGGAAAATGGCTGGTAGCTCGAAAGTGAAGGGTCGAATAGGTCAAAAATATTCTCTTATCGGTAAGAGAATACAAAAAAAATCTAAAACGATGTCGTTTTGAAATTTCGAGCCATTCAACCCTTTGATATTTCAAACTACCAATCGGAGTGGTTAGAAATATCACATTGGAATTTAACTAAACGTCCGTATCTTTTTTTATTTTATAAATAAAAAAACTAAAAAAAAAAAAAAAAATACAAAAAGACACAAGATATATATATATATATATATATATATATAGAAGGGGCTTCACGATCTGTCCGTTGACCAAGACATCGATCGGACTGCGATCTGTTCAGATCGGTGGCTTCACAATCCTTGTCATGGTCCTGGCTTCACGGTCACGGTCTTGGTCCTAGTCCTGTTCAGATCAGTGGCAACGGAGGGCTTCACGGACGGACCACGGTTCATGATCTGTTCAGATCGGTGGTGGTGGTGGATTTGGATGATGTTGATGATGATAAGAAGTGAGAGAATGAGAGAGATCTGAGTGAGTAAGGGAGGGAGAGAGAGATGAGAGAAGCGGAGAGACTCAGAGAGATCTGAGTCAGTGAGGGAGAGAGAACTAAGACATGCGTGAGATTGAGAGAGAGAGAAGTGAAAGTGAGATGAGGTTTGGTTTATATATATATAAAAGGGGTAAAATAGTAATTTTATTTCGGGGATAAATGGAGACAGAGACGGGGCCGGGCCGGGTACAAGGCTGGGACACTTATCCCCGTCCCCAGCCCGAAACTAATCGGGGATTGATTTTTGAATACCATCCCCGTCCCATTGGGGATATTTTTCTGGGAAAACCCGCTTAAATCGGGGTTGGGAGGTCGGGTTCCTGTCGGGCTGAGTTCAAATTGCCATCCCTATTTGGAGTTGATCTCAAACAAGCTTCAATTAAGTCAATCACGAGCCGATTTCAAATAGCTTAGTTTCTTAAATGGTTCAAAGTGCATATAAGCTTATTAAACCAAATGAATTTTAACTCAAATAAACTTTTAACTAGCCGGTCTCAAATAAACCTCTAGTGAACTGATCTCGAATGAATTTTAATGAGTCAAACACGAGTAAAACCCGAGTATCTTGGTTTGTTTTACAACCCTATGTATCACCAAGTAGATGTTGCTATCTTGTGTTGCGGAAATCCGCTTAGTGGTTTGAGATAAAGATGTTTGAACAGCTATTGTATTTTTACATGCTGGTTCTGCAATTAATTTAATTTTACTTCAGCCTTGCTCAGATTCTTCTCCTTCCTCCTTAGGATCTACTGTTTTGCTGCCTTTCATTCCAGAGGAATCCTCAAGCATGTTTAGCCAATTGTCAATCTTTTAAGCCATAACCATTTTTTGGGTATGATTGTTCTGCGCACAAAATTTGGTCCTAAAATTTAGAACTTTAAATATATTTTTTTTCTCTGGTTTTCTAGAAGCGATTGGAGGGCTTGACTGAAGCAGAGTTAGAAGCATTGCTCGAACAAGTGGAGGAAGAGAAGAGACGCCTGGCTAGTGGCGAGCAGATCAACTAAAACTTGTACAAACAGGAAATTTATACACAAATTTCATAGAATGATGCTGATTAGATTCCATCATCGTCGTTATGGATATGTTACCTTTGCGGTATAGAATCTGAAAATTGTTCAGCAGCTAATTTGTAACTAACTACAAAAAGTTGGTTATTGTTACCCATTTGAGAGGACAGAGAGTTGTACCAATGGATTTATAGTTGGAATTCATTTGGAAGAAAAAGACAACATTAGTCAATTGCTGGCATGCTATGTTTTCCTATTTTGGTTTCATGAGAGAGAGAGAGAGAGAATTAAATTGCTCTCTTGAAGTTGGAAGGAATGATACCACACTTGCTTTGAAGCAAAAAAATGTTTACCAACAAATAAGAAACCTCAAGTTTTAGACTTAATTAATAAATTAGTTCAAATCTAATTTTAAAATAACAAAAATAAAAATATAACATTTTCAAAATCTACATCAAATTTATATTTATTGCTTCTCAACAAAAAGATTATGATGATATGACTCATGAGAATGAGCTATTTTGGTGAGAAAGCGGCCTCTTAAATTGAAGTTTGCAAAATGTTTTTGCTTTTGTTTTTAAATGTCATTATGAGTATAAACTTGTAATGAGAGAAATCTAACAACAGTTACCTACAAATTTAGGACTATCCCCACTTCATTTTTATACAAATATACTTCATGATTTTGTTTTATTATATAAATTTACAATAATATCCTTGAATAATCGATACATCTTTGCATAAATGTTTATACGCTTTAAGAAGATTGGCTAATGCTCAATTAACTATGTATGATTGATGGTGTTAAAATTCATATGATCCGAATTTCATTCACATGACATGACTTACAAGAAAGGAGAAATAGTAACCCCTATATATATAATTTTATGGAGCCGTCATTGATTTTTAGAATGTTAATGTGGTGTCGGTCAAGACTACATAATACTTTAAAATAGAGAATTAAAATATCGTGCATCACTTTTTTTTTTTGGCCTTTTATACTTTTAGGGCATGTTTGATCGACATGATTAAAGCATAAGATTAAGATTATTAATCCGTGAGCTCAATAATCCTGTGTTTATTTTGAAATTTTGTTTCAGGATTATTAATCCAATGGGTTATTAATCCAACAAATTTGTAGGATTATTAATAATGGGGTAGAGGTGAGATTATATATCCTAAGTTGAGAAATAAAATAAAAAGACTCTTTTACCTACTAATCTAATGCAAATCAAATAATAGACAAACGGATAATTTATCCTACTAATCTAATTGGATAATGAATACCACACTAATTTAATGGGATTATTAATACCTTCACTATTAATCTTGTGAATCAAATATGATCTTAAATTACGATATCTTGTCTGAATTTTAATAATAATGAGATTTATATAATGTTTTGTGTGTACAAGATCATACCTTGTTGGAATTATTCATATAATGAGAAGATCAGTCTAATTAATTATTTATCCATCAATAATAATGAAAAAAATTGTATTTGAAGGAAAATAGAGTGAAAATATCACTTTATCTTAATTTTATAAATTTTGATGTATTTCTAAAAAAGTGAGGAAAAATTAAATTTTTTTCTTCTAAGTTTGATCATTGTAATAAATTAAATCATAAAATTTTAATTTAATTAATTTAAACTCTAATATTTTGATTTGTTTTCACTTTTAATTATTTGTCTATTTTTATTAGGTAAAAGTATCAACAACAAAAAAAAAAAAAACAAAGTCGTTAAACTAAACGTAAAAAGATATTTTAAATATTTTATATGCATTTAAATTGAATTTAATAAGTAAAGTATTTTTTTTTTTGTAAATTTTATGCTTAACAAAAATAGACATATAATTTAGATGAAAAATAAATCAAAACATTAATATTTAAATTGATAAAATTAAAAACTTATTTTGTTATAATATATATATACTAGCATATGCCCATACCTGAACGCACGGTACAATTAATTATGAGATTAAAATATAAATCAAAATTAGAGAGGAATGTATTTAAATTTTTTGTTTTTTGTTTTTTTTTGTTTTCTTTTCAAAGAGTAGGTAATGAATTCACAGGAAGGAGAAAAATTCTTAAATGAAGGCATGAAACTTAAATGAAACACCAATTTATTAGTAACTCAAATAAATTTCAGGAACCCGCAAAATTAGGAACCTCCATGACTCCCAAAATGATGTAAACCAATCATATATTTTTATTTTTTTTCTTTCCTTCCTGGACCAATCATAGGTGAGTGGGAGTTATAAAGTTATATTTTTTTAAGAATATGTAGCATTTTTTATATTTTTAATAAAAAAAATCTTCCCAAGATAAATTGCACTTCCCCAAATTGCAATCTCTCAATTTTCTCACCTATTCTCTCTCCTCTTCTCTATTACCTCAATCTCTCTCCCTCAAACACTGTAATGAGTTAACGTTGTGCACTAAAATGCTATGAACAACTGATAAAAAAAAAAAAAAATCAAATAACTCTAACTTTCCATTTGATTTGCTTAGATAAATACACCATGAAATTAGATCAAGGGACTGGAACAATAAAGCAAGGACCACAACAACATACATCCAGCAATATAGTTGAAGAGAGTGAATATCCTCTGTCCAAAAAATAAAAATAAAAATACGGGTATGTAAAAATAAAAAATAAAATAAAATAATTTAAAAAGCTGAGAGTACCTTCGCAAAATCCACCCTTCCTTTAGTCCCACAGGTCTGTGAGCTTTGGATCTGAAGAATAAATGGAGAAGATGACCATGGAACTTTTAGGGTATTCTCTACACTGTTTCCACCATTGTTGTGGGTCAAGAAATTTATCAAAAAACGGAAAAATAGAACTTGAAAGATAAAATACATATTCTCACACACATAAATAAACACAAACCTAGAGATTACAAACTTTCTGCCAAGTTTTTGACTTAATTTTTATGAACACAAACACAAATGCAACAGAAATGAAAAAATTGGAGCTGATATGCACAAATAAAACCGGTAATTTTATCACACTTCAAACAACTCAAACCCAGATTAATAAAGCTTAACACATAAATTGCAAGATAAATTCCACAAACAGAAATGATGATCAAGACCTCAATTCCACCAACAAACTTGAAGATATATTACTCTTGGGCCAAACAAAAATTTGGCTATCGTTAGAATTAGAATATAATCCGTGCCTTAAGATATATCACACTTGGGCAAAAAAAAAAAAAAAATTTGAATAGGAGAAAAAAAAAATGTGGAAAAATACCAAACGTATAAACCTACATAATCATTCTGTTCTGGAGAGGTTGTTTTCGAATTGAGTAAGAGAAAGAGTAGTAGAATCTCAGATAAGCTCATTATTTAATTTTTTATTTTTTAGAGAAACAAAAAAAGAGATTAGTTTTTGGATATAGAAATGGTAGAGACTAAGAAATTGACTACAGAAAATATAACACACATCTATTTTGATCGCCAAATAATCACAAAAGATTAGACAAAAGAAACACAAATGTAGATACTAGATGAATAAATGATACAAATGATAGAGAATCACAAACCCATATCGGTTTCTTGAACATATAAAAAAACACAAATGATACAAATGATAGGGAATCAAAATGATTTAGAATCACCTAGAATACCTACAAAACTCCATAGCAAATATTACCACCAAATGATACAAATGTAGATATTAGATGAATAAATGAAAGAGAGAACCAGAGTGTCAACCATAGTAGACTTGTGGGTGTTTCCAAGTTAGCCATTTTAAAACATTTGGCTCAATTTAACCAAATTCTAACTAAAATTGAACCAATAGATATTGGTTAAACCAAATGGGTTGTGTATAAACTGTACAACAACATGATTCCAATATATTCTAGGTGTTTTGATTTACGGTTTAGAAAAACAAAAATCAAAATGAGGGCCAAACTGCAGGTGACTTTTGCAACTTGGCAACCTAAAAAGTCCCAAAAGAACCACTTAAAAAATGCCCCAGTAAAAACATCACACCCAGATCCTCTCCCTAAAATCACACCAAACCCAAATCATAAAACTAAAATTCTTGGGTTCAATACTTACTGCTAAATAGTCACAAAAGATTAGACAAAAGAACATAGGCTTATTGAAAGAGATACAATTCCATTTAATCCAATAACAATAAAAAAAAAGGATACAATTTCTCCACAAAATAAAACTAAAAATCAAAATTACAGAAAGAGGATATCATAAATTAAAATGACATCAAGTTGAACCAAACTTGTGTGTTTCAGAACAATGTAAATACCTAAAAATAACCCAAGTCAATTAAGAAAAATACCTAAAAATTGAACAAATTGACAAATAGTCCAACAACCCAATTCAATTAAGATCATCAACACTCTAATGATTAGTTGCCTTGATGAGTCCAAATCTTTTCATTATCAAAAAGCTACCCATAAGACTCAAAGTAAACACAATCCCAACTTTCAGAGCAACTAAACATAGTAACCAATTATTAGCCAAAGGAAACCCAAATTTCACTTTCTTTACTATTTCCCACACTTTCTCACCAACCAAACAGGACAGAATTTTTTTTGGTACAAACTATTGATTTATGGGCTAATAAAAATCTAATGCCATTTGTGGAATACTTGACAATTAGTTGCCTTAAAAATCTGATTTATGATGGACTAACCCAACACATTGAAAAAAAACCTAACGCAACACATTGAAAAAGCAATGAAAAATTTGAAAAATCTAAAATCTAAAATCTAAAATCTAAAATTTAAAATCTGATGGAAGTTTAAGTATTCATGGCAGAATCTTTTATTCAATTTGGTCTGATTTTGATAACAAAAATACAACAATAATTTCATGGCTTTTCATAGATATCCATAGAAAGCAAAATAAGAGAGAGACACAGAGAAAGCATACCATTTCTACTCACAAATTCATATGTTTATAGATTCATATATCTATAAACATTTCTAGGAGAGATAGAGAGAGTAAACTCACGGGGATGTGCCGGAAAGCACCGAAGCCGGAAAACTTGTTCACGGGGATGATGTCTCAAGCGAAACGACTTTGAATTTCTGCAGATTTCTGCGAATAAAACCCATCAAATCCATTTCAAATTTAAGAAATCTCAACCCATCAAACTTTTTGGTACAAACTGCTAATTTATGGGTTGATAAAAATATGATGAAACTACTGATTTATGGGCAAATTTATGGTGGAATACTCGACATATTTATGGGATGA